TACAAATTTATCCTGGCAATGAATAAAGCCAATTGTATATAGTTAATCCTAATATTTACATTGGTCAGTAAAAATTGGTATAATTTTCGACAAGTTTTAAATAGTGTATACGTTTACACCAACTTCATAAAACTTGCTTTTTGCAAGTTTTGTACTTACCAGTTACCACACTGAACCAGATAACAATTACTCATTCGTAAAGTATCAAGTTCAGTTTTGTATTACATTTTAAGTACCGAGTTCAAAGTTCACCAGATGATCAAAAGTAAGTATGCAGAGTAGACGTTATATGTATTCACGTTTTTGAATCACTCAAAATATTTCTAGGAAGAGCGAAAGGAGAAGAGAAATTGGATGCGGATCGAAGTCTATGAATATGCAAATAAGTGCATAATGGAAACTAAACTGAACAACTAAAATTACCGCCGTTTGTGACATGTTTTATCATGTCATAACATCCGTGCATAGTCTATATAGCAGGGGTGTGCAACATTTTTTGTCCAGATAAACAACTTCAGACATCTAGTTTGGCCACACACTAAAAAGTTTTTTCATATACACAATGAATTAAAAGAGTGCTCACAATGTAAAATATTAGTTATTACTTATCGATCTTGATCGGTATTTGTCTGTTTGTTTGTTTGTTTGTTTGTTTGTCTTTTAGATACACGCGATATCTCACGAAAGCGAGGTTGAATCTGCTCCAAATTTGAATGTATGTGCATTCATCATATCTCGTACCAGAAGCCTATTGATTTTGGATGAATTATGTCGTATAATTAGCGAGTTATCAATCAATTAGTGATGGGACACACGGTGTCACTATGGCGTAAGAGCGGTTGAATCGAAACCGCAGTTCCTGTTTTGTGGGGTCCCCTAACTTTCGATCGATAAGTCTTCGATCTCCGACCGATATTCTCGTTTAACATTTTATTGGGACAGTTGAAATTTCGAGTTCTGGCATAGTTTATCAATGTCAGCTGTTAACATAAACTGGTTTACTCGTTGCTTATAGAGGAACCACAGTCTCTCGTCATGTCACCAGTCCATGTATGGGAATAGTTAGCCAGGCATTTATTTGGTGGAGGAGGCTGTTACCGATCAGCGGTTGGTTACATGATCCAAGCTACGGCGGCGAGAAGTCCGGTAATCTTCTCGCACATAATTAGCTCTCAAGGGAGTCGAGCATGCGAACCCACACAGGGTAATCAGAGGAGCGGTGGCGAACATATTCCTAACGCTTCGTCGAGCAAAATCAACGAGCAATCACATTCCTTGAGTTCATATACAAATATCAACAACATAATGAGTGTATAATGTTTAAACTTTGTGATATCATGTCTCAAAGTGCAGCATATCATTCCTATGCCTATCTGAAACACGATCTCCATGTAAAGTATAAAATATCAATGCGTTGCATTATTAATATCAGACTTCGTAATTCTACTCGCTTACTGCGGTCATCAATACAGCAACTGAACTGGGCGACCTTAAACGTAAAAAATAAACACAAAGTTAGGTATATTTTATTTCATTGTTAACCTTATCCGATATTGTAAACAATTAGTTAAAATATTTGTTCCGAATTTAAAATTTACATATTTTATATTTATTTTCTTTGATATGGAATGTAACAATCCCCCATTTTTATTTTCTGAGCAATTCTATTATATTTGGGCGCATATGTATTTGCAGAATGTGCAAAGTTCTGATTAAATATAGGAACTGAGAACATTGGTATCACCCGTACGGTCAACATAACCAGTCCCTTACAAACTGATGCCTTAGGTATAACAAACCTTCGCCATGATAGACAGTTTTCGAAATTTTAAATGTCAAGAAGTCTTGACGTGGATTGCCATTATATTGTCATTAATGTTTTATTTAATACAAATGGTGTATTGATCTCTCCGATGGGAGATGGAATACAAGATGTCATAAAGAGATCTATTATTGTAGCATAATATTGCCAAAAATGGTGATAAAAAAATGTTTCTGACCTGCAAAACGCCGTGGCAGTTTTTGAGTTTGTTGCTGATATATACTGCACTACTTCCACGTATTATTTTATCTATACAATTTTCAACACAATAATGTATCACGCCGTCTTTCAAATCTCTCGAGAATTATTAACATTTAAACCGTGTGCAAATGAGAGCACAGATATCACAATTCTCAGTGGAGCATGCCTATTTTTAAATCAATTATTTGCCGCTTATAAGTATATCAGTGTAGTTTATTAGAATGGAATATTCGAATTTGAATGCCGCCGTTTCACAAAAACGCAACTATCATCAAATAAGGCTCCGAATATTAAGATAATAGGATTTTTTCATTATCAAGTTTAATTTGTTCGATTTTATATATTCACGAAATATCTATTTTTCTTTATATTCGAAAGTTTAATCACCCGTTTCCTGCCGTTTCTCGGTGTTTGTTCAAACATGTCAAATAGTAAAGTTATGCGCCTCTGTCAGGTTTAATTTGTTATGTTAACAGTAAAAATATTATAATACTAATTAATTATTCAAAAAATATTTTTGTCTTTTTATTCGAAACATTATTATCTCATTTCCTGCCATTTCTCGGTGTTTATTCAAACATGCCAAATAGTAAAGGTATGTCCTTCTTTCAGGAAAAAACTATTTTTTTTATGTTAAACAATAAGGATATCATAATACTAATTACTTAATTACAAAATATTTTCAACTTTTAATTTCGAAAGCTTAATCTCCCGTTTCCTGCCATCTCTCAGTGTTTATTTAAACATGCTAAATAGTTAGGTTACGTACCCCTGACAGAAAAGGTTTAATTGATTATGTTAAACAGTAAATATAATATAATACAAATTATTTAATTCATAAATATTCGAAAGATTAATCGTTCGTTTCCGGGCATCACTTGCTGTGACTTTATGTGACCACGCTAAAGAGTAAGGATGTTCTAACACTAATCGATCACCCTTGATTGAATTTTTCTACAAATTTGACGTAACCGACTTGGGAAGCAGGTGGTATTCCAGATAATGTGTAACATTGTTTAGAACGCGAGCATCTTCATCATCTGTGAAAAAATGAATGATGGAGTGAGGTACAATATCCCTGATGTTGAGTATAGTTAATTCACTTTTTTAGAATGATATCAATTTTTTACGTGTTCTGATGTTGATGACCGTTGATGATGTAGTGACACAAAGTATATTTTGAAGCCGCTTTCGCGTATTATCTTTCATGTTTATTTATTTTATAATACTCATTTATTCTGTATAACTATTAAACAAACATCAACTTCGAAAAGTTGAATATTTTATGTTTCATTTTGTTTTTTTGAATACAATTGCTTTCATCTTACTTTGTTCTCAACTGTTTTTGACGTATTGTACTCATCGCATGTATTCAAGATTCAGTATATCAGGATTAAAACGGTATCAACTCAACTCAGCGGGTACTCGGGAGCTATGAAACTAAACAATTTTCTACTCCCAGTCGCTCACGGGCGCCCCGGAACTTCACGTAATATAAATTTTATTTTCAAAGCAATATCACGCTAAACGCATATACAACAGCTTGAGATTTTGAAGATAATTTTCAGACAGATTGTAACTTCATACTAACTTGTACGAATAGAACAGGGCACATTAAAGTGTTCTGGTTTGGACTTTTTATCACAGCTTACTCGGATTGATTTGTTATTGGTTGATTATTCGAATCCAAATTACTGATAAGAAAAATTGTTATATACTGCCAATGATTTGAGTTTGCACCATTTTGACTGTATCGATGGTGTCGTTTTAAAAGTTTTGACAATATATATATTTCAATTATCGGCAACAACTCGTTTCGCATATATATAATTGATTTTTTTCGGAGTCAACGGAAGGCCAATAAGAACTCAGAAACACGCAATCAGTTTTAAATAAAATATAGACTGGACATTACAGGTCTTCCAAACCAACAAATGTTTACATGACTCAAATCAATCGATTGCTCTGAAAATAAAACACTACAGTTTTGTAAGCTAAATTGCAAGACCAGCGTTCGGTTTCGAAATTCCTTGTGTTGCTTGGTTTAACACTCCTCGCTAATCTGTTAAAGAATTCATAGGACAGAATATTCTAGATGGTTTAGGACTGTTATTTTATTTAAGAGGATAATTTAGTTGGTGCAAAATTTTCTAAAAATATCTAAGAATATGCATAGGACGTCTATGTAGTGGTTTACGATATGACGCAGGTTAATACGTAGGAAATAGGATTACAAAACATCGTGATATTTTAGCAGCAACTAAATGCGGTCTAGTAAGTCGTTAATTGCTCTTAACGGTTAAATACTTGTGGAGACTATGCTTTTAGATTATTTTGGGTAGGGCTAGAGCCTGTATGGCTAGTGCATTCTCTTACAATTTGTTCAATTAAAGTTTGTGCGAATCCTCTTATCCAGTTTGCTGGAAATCGGCTAATTTCGGCTTCTAGATTTTAAAACGGTGATCGACGGATCCTTGGGAATATCGTCACTGTCAGGCATTTGCCAATCATAATCAAAGTATTTAAATGTCTTGAAAGAGAAGGAAGCGATAAGAACATAGATGGCGAATAGCAAAATATACTTATATGTGTTAAATTAGGAGAACTGCGTACCTGATCCAATATAAATGAAACGTGAATATTACTTGTATATATTTGTGGATTCAAAATTGATGTCATATTTATAAACGTTGAATAAAATAACACATCAAAAATGATGCAGGAGTATTGAAAGAATCATAATATATAGATGTCAATAACATAGAAATAAAACGCGTAAAAAGAACGTCCATCAGCGCTAATGAAGCTCAGAACCACTACTCAAATAGAATACACTTGACATAATTTTAAAGTAAGTATATACAAGTATATTATAAATTCGAACAACAAGACTCGAATAATTCTGATTACACTAAAAAAGCAAAGACTTTTTAAAACTACAATTTTTTTAATATATATATATACATATATACTTGGAACACACTATAACTCGCCTTTCAAGAGAGAGATGAGGCAGTCCACATTAAAACGACATAGAGCAATAAAAGAGTTTGTTTCAACATAGATATAGAGGGTGATAAATTTGCCTTTACGAGGGATAATCGCATTCGCTAATTTGGTACGAATATTGAAGTTAGCGCTTATTGTGATTTGGAACATTCCGCCCTACTCTGACCTAGAAAGTGTCTTTTGAGTTTGTGCAGACGTGAAGGTTCCCCTCTTTTCTTTATACGGTAAACTATAGACATTTATTTGGATGGCAACAAGAAATAAATGACTGAAGAATCAATATCATTATAATATTTATTTTATGATCCGATAAATAAGAGGTTGATGAACGAACCCGGGCGGGGGTCTGAAATTTCTAAGTTAACATTTCAAAAAGGCGGTTCCGATCCCCAACCTACGGCAGAAGCCTCCTAAGATGCCTCTGAACGGGCCGATAACAGGCACAATAAGGAAATATATCATCTTGATTTACTTTCACACTCCAATTCAAGGCACTGACCAGTTATGCCGGACGATGTATTGGCAGATTGACGGAAAATGTTCAGACAATCAGTGCTCCCGATGTTCCCGAATCGTCCAAAGCTTTTTCTAAGTTAATATTGTTATTGATTTCCGCTTTATATAATCGTTCGCGTCTCTTTATTGCTAGTACCTCTCCTAGTGTGAGACTCATTACTGCCATCACATGGATCATATGCATGACTGCGTTATGATTGAAATTGTTTGGTAAAGGACAGCCATGTAATCCGTGGGGATCTTCTGCTTGTGAACACATTGGGGTCAAGATGTAGCTGAATGTACCTAAAAAGAAAAAGCATATTATAAATCTCTTTTAGAGATATTTCAGGCTTTTTCAGGATATTTTTTCATCCCATTTCAGCACATGACAAGTTTTTCCGATGTTCATTCCGATGGGAATAACATTTCCATGGTCTAGCCTGGTGACTAATATTGAATGAAAGGCTATTTGTCCGGTGTCTCACCACAAAATAAATATCAGATATGAAAAGCTCTCCGAAGGTAAAAAGTAAAAATCAAAAGTTGCTTTGACATAATAAAATGTCATGGAAAAATATGTTCTGTCCCATCCCATTCCACGAAACGTTGCGCACAGGAATGACAATCTCGTGGCCATGCCTGGATTTTTCAAAAATTTGCTCTGTACTGCTACAGACAGCAGTCACTGATATGTAAGAAACTAAGTAATGTTTTGAATGTACGAAAACTTTACGATTTTGCAATATAGTAGGGTGGTGAACATTTAATTTGAGATCAGACCACGTAGCACAACGCGTGCGCCAACGCAAGGCCATCGCAACGGTCATATTCAATTAAAAAAAGTTTTTAACCCCGCTTTTAAACTACGACCCCGGCTCCGACATCTGGTTGATTTGGGGGCGGAAATTTAGATTCCGATTTTTACCATCAAAAGCCTGAAATTCTGACTTTCGATTCTAAAGAGTCCGGAACTTCCTTTCAAGAATCCCGGACAAAGTGAATTTTTAAATATACCTCTGACTTTGTTTACGATATCAGTGAAAACATGCAAAACTCTGCCCAACAAGCCACACTTTGAACATAGTTGAATAAAAACTTAAGATTACAGATTAGATTAGACCAAAAAGAGTTCGCGTCGTCATACAGATTTCGCGATTATACTTAAAGATAGAGATTTTATTTATTTCAGCTCGATTCACAACACATATGTAAGTTCTCCATATTAAGTTGTTTTGTTGTTGCAATAAAGCCCAGGGTAGTCCAACAAAGTCCCGTTTTGGTTAGAATAGAGTTGAATGAAAATAACTAACCTCCGCCTAATATTAACAAAGGGCAGAGGCATTGGAGACACAAATCCCATCTGAAGACGCAATCTTTGGCTTCTGTACACGCGGCATCGTTTTGAGCTTGTGTGCCTCTATCTATAAAACATACAAGAGATTAAACAATTTTGAAGTTTTCAAGATATTCGAAATTTTTTGAACAAAGGCTTTTTGTAAAATAATAGGAATCAGATTGTTAATAAATGCTCTCCTTTTTCAATAGCCCACGAATTCAAAATGATGAGCCGACGCGTCAACCTCGAGATGGCGCTCTTGTAATAAGAGCAGAAGCTGATGACTGATGGTTCAGCTAGCTATATACTGATGTTTTTTCAATATTTGACTCTTATGTCAACTTTTTCCAAGATATGAAAAAAAAATGTGCAATTAATCAGGAAAATTTATCTTAGAAAATTTGCTGAAGCTGAATTTTACGTTAAAGCTAAAAATACCGAAAGAACGTTCAGGCGAATGTGTTGCAAATGTGTAATTTCATTTCCTTTGTTCATCATATCTTTTATTTTTATGCAATAAAAAGTTAACATAGAAAAAAAGGGAAGAAATGCACCTTCACACTCTAAATTACAGTAATGACTATAAGTGGTATTCATTACAAATGGAATGTTCACTTGCAGAAAAAATAAACTTGGAATAATCACCTCCCGATACTTTTCTGCTCTTGATTAGTCGTTTCTTGCATCCCACAATAGCACTTCTGCAAACAATAAGTGTCATCCATACGCTTTGTATAACAAAACCTGAGAATAGAAATAACGGTAATGTAGCTTGAGCGAAGTTTAAAGCAATATTAATGAGTGTTTTTTTACAAACGAGATTCTACGTAAAAAAAAAGACTATCTTACTATATTATACACTAAAATTTGAACAAACCTAAACAAATCTCTTAAAAACGATGCCTTCTCTCACATAAACAAATTAGAAATGTAAGTTTATAAAGAACCTTATACATTGTAATTGTAATAACCTTGAAATGGTTATTTTAATAACATACAACACTATTTTCGAGCAGCATAGGCGCGTAATGTTTTGCTCTAAATGCAGGTTTTTTGAGAATCGTAGGAGTCTGTTGGAAATTCCCACCAGATCATCTTAACCTGACACTCTCGTATGATTGCAGAGCGATCTGGCTTAGGACTCGAAGACAATTTTTTTTTGTAATGACAAAATGCAAGGGAAATACGACTTGATACGTATATTTCTTGACAAATCGAACATTCACTGGGTTGTTGCAGAAATACCTGAAAATCGGGCGTGTTCATGTCAAGGAAAATGTTGTCAATAAATATTAAATTCTATATGTTTTTTAAAATAAGATTGTTCTAACGCGTAATTGAAATCCTAATGTCAATAAACTCATTAAACGATATGACCCCGGACTCGGAATTTCTGTGAATCGACTTGATATTAGACTCAAATTTTGAAATTTTCCGTTACTCAAATATGACTCAAGACTCACTTCCTCAGATGGCCCGTGACAGTACATAAGTTAAAGACGAGTTTCACGGTGAAAACAACAATCATAGCAAATATACAGGGTGTCCATAAATTCCTTTACAATTTCAATTTTGTTAAGAAGTCAGTTCTCAATATATCCTAACAAGGTTTGTTGCTTTTCAATCAGTAATTGTTTAAGTATTTTTACTTAATTTATTACAGCGATTAATTCACTTTTGTAATTTTAAATTTTTTTTAGACTATATGGACACCTATTTGCATTGGTTGTATCGTAAATAAAAAGAACTAAGTTAAAAAACACTCACATCCCATAAAGACAATATACAAAGTTGTTACATCGTATGGATTCGTATCGTCTGTCAAGCGCACGAAGTTCCAGACAACAGCAGTCATGCACAGCAATGTCTTGACACCATAGTAAACCTTTCTTGCCCAATTTGGCAAAGGGAGAAAACTTTCTTGCTGACACTGAAAATTGGGAAGGTTTCAATTAAGGATATTTGTATCAAGACGCCTTTAAAGGCCTGCATGACACAAGTGCAAGTCCCTTTTTTTACATACTGTTTCTATCGGGCTGTGAGAGGTTTAGAAAGTGTAATTGTATTTCCGCTTCTCGCGGTTGGAAATATTTGAAATTTTAGAGTTGAGCGTTCTCGTTTTAATTTATATAATGATTCTACCGTGTTTCCCCGAAAATAAAACCTAACCTGAATTTTGAAAATTATTTTTAAAACGAGCTCTTCCTTCAAAATAGGACCTAATTGATAGAGCAAATATTTATTTGAATGAAAACGATTTATTTATAAATAAATAAATAAATACCTGTTTTTCATATATTGTATATTTGTAATTCTCCTCTTTTTAATTTTGTTTCTGATGAATGAAAAGAAATGATATCCCCCCCCCCCCCCCCCCCCCCCCAATAAGTTCCAGTATTATTTGTGGAAAGAAAATTATTATAAAACAAGACAGTATACAAAATTATTAATGTGCGGATTACCGAATCTGATTAAGATATTAAAACTATAGAAAAAATTAAACTTTGACTATTAGTCACAACTTATTTATTTGATGTGAAACTCATAGTGTGTAAACTTCTAAAAAATTAGAAATAAATTGCTGTAATTAAATCATAATGAATACTTTAATTTATAATAATACATTTTGTGGAATTTTGTTCCTGCGTTTTGAACAGAAGATGCTCCCGTAGTGTGTGTACCATGTTAGGGTTCGGCCATAATTTTATTCCCATTTTCCTTATTTTAGTTTTATTACGAGTCTGGAGACTTTCTGTGTTAGTAAAGTGAATATATCCCCGGCATATAGGTTTCGGTCACTTTACACAACTCAATGTAAAATAGCGAACAAAATTAGTTTCCTCCCTATTGGTACACACACTTTTAGAGCGCCAATAATACAAAGAATAAATTATATCTTACGATTTGCTCTATCAAAGTAAAAAAAGCACAAATGGTAGGCACGACCATGACCGCTCCGCATCTCCACACAATTAGCCAAGTCCAGCTGTCTTCCCAGGATGTATAAGGTTCGACCTGAAAAAAGTCAAATCTTGCGTTAAGTATTTATTGAAGCAAGTTGCAACTGAATATGAAATATTTACTTGGGAGTTAAATGATACTATAATCCACGTGTTTTCAACGTGTTATTTGAACAAAACATACTTTCGTCTTAATATCTATTATTTGTAGCTTATCGTTAGCTGGTATTTTCTGAGGTGAGGTGCGAGACTTGGCAAATTCTAAAAAAGGGGGCACGGCTCAAAAAATTTGAGAAGACTGTTCTAAAGAATCAGTAGTTGATTGCGCAGGGCCTTGTTCGAAGTAAAATACATAAGTGAGCGTCCTCTTTAGGCGACGTAATTATCATTTATAGATGTAAAAGTAAACATATTTATCCAGAAGGGCGAGTAAAACGTTCGTCATCAGTGACATTTCACAATATATTCTTACTAAATATATACATCTCGTTATCTCAACTTCCCAAGGCAAGTGATTGCGGCATTGTTTGTTGCGGTATTACGATATTGGTCACAAAATTAGAAACCACGATCTAAATGCACATTCCTATATTTAGCTTTGACGACGATACAAACGTTATTTATATACACAACAAAGCATAATGTTTCGTTTTACGTATCGGGTGGTTATCGAGTTAGTTTTGAGTCTATTATTATCACAGATATTTAAATTGAAGTTGCACCACCCGCGGAATGTACATGAAATTTTAGAGTTGTGACCGCTGGCTGTTGTTTTTGTTAACCGAGGTGTTTGATATTACATTGCGTTTCCGACCCCATGACCTATTTCCAAATTCGGGAATTTTGCAGGCGGTGTTTAAAGTAGAACTACCTTGGACTATATTGGGAACTCTACCGACATCGGTATACAAACACTGAAGTTTAGGTCGTGTTTTTTTGTCGTAGTTTGGATAGAACTATCCAAATCAGTCGAAATCGCAGTCAGAATCAAAATTCTGTCGACTCAGCGCCAGAAGTCGAAAGTGCATCACTCACAAAAATTGTAGCTATTTACTTATCGGTGGCTGGTATAGAAACGACGAAACGAAAATTAATCGATTTTCTATCTTTGCCACTGAAAGATCTACTTTACACAAACCTGATGCAAATACTGATGTGGCAATCCCCCCAGTACCGTCATCAAGCTGTAGCACGATTGGAATCCTAGAGTTGCGTAGGTGGACAACGTGACTGACGTCATCACCGGCCTTGGCCATTTGCACGGGGCCCAGTACTGTGATATGCTGGCGTATTCGTATCCACATGAAGATTTAACTCGCTTGTCGTCATTATTTTTGTGACGCCATATCAAATACGTCATAATTCCAGCCATGATGAAAGAAATAGCAGATAGTAAATAGTCTGTGGCGTAGGTACCAATGCTGTCGTCAACGCCATGACGATGAAAGAGCAGTTTTCTTCCGACGTGAAATGTGTCATCCATTTTAATAATTATATACTTCAATGTAGCTCTAAAAAAATGTAAAAGCTGCAAGTTTGCTTTGTTTATTTAAAATATTATTCACAGAATAACTGGTGGTAACTGGAATAAAAGGCAGTTTTGCATGAAAGAATTACATGTCTTTGCAATTTCTTAAAGGACATACATAAGGGTTGACTGTGATTCATTATCGTCGCCTTACTTCGTCGCCTTATTAAAATATCTCACATTTATACAAAAGAAATATGAATTATATATAATTTTGGTAGAAACTGAATATAAAACATCAAAATCCAGCAAGAAATGTTAAGATGTTGCCCCTCCACTTCTAAACGACACCTAGAAACTCCGATTCCCACATAATAACATAAATATACATCTTGAATGATTTATTAAAATATTTGCTCCAGACCTTTTACGGCAGTAAGATATCGCAATGTATTGATGTTCTAATACATCAAGTACTTGGTTTGTGGTTTTTAGCGTTTTAAAGTTCGAATAATAAAACTATCCTATACAAAAAAATGCTAACTGCGATCATTATTGATAGCCTATTGGCCTCACTATAGTTAAACAAGAGAGCTATGCTCAAATATATGGACACGTAGCGCCACCCAGTGGCAATAATTTTGATGACGTCATAGCGAAAAAAAAAGTAATAGCCTTCTGGAGAAAAATTTTATCTTTAACCACTGAAAATATCAAAGCAATTGGTCCAGTATTCGAAGAGAAAAGCGATTTTTTAAAAATGGAAACGGAGACAAATAACAATAACAATAACAACAAAATTTTGAAACGATCGTTATGGCCACTAAACGTGTCCAATTATGTTACGCTGAATTCTAAATCTTGTTTTTCAAAAAACAGTAGCTCTTTACATTCGAGTGCTTCCTTGTATATACGGTTATTGTTTCAGTTGAAGATATTTGAATACCTAACAAAATGAAGCAAAATGCAGGATTAACTATCTGCTGATTTGATATATTTTTGTGATTATGGCACGATATGTGTACCACAGTTTATTTTATACCAAAGTTATTTGTATGTTGCGAAATTAATGTATGTAAAACATGTTTCTGGTGTCAAAACAAATAACAAAACAAAACTCAAAACATCGAAGTCGTGCCGATGTAAATTCCTACTGATTTACCCAATTTTCACTTTATGTAGTTATCAGTGACATGTCCTTTACATTGATCCCATGTAATTGAATGCTATTCGAATTTCATTGATTGTCATTTTGTTTTCCTTAATCTTTTTATATTTAACTTTGATTTTAGTGTTATTTGAAAGTACGAATCGTATAAACCGACCACCTTAAATATTGACACAAAACACACTTTGTGTGTTAATCGTGTTAAATAACGTGTTAGTACAGATTTTCCCTTTTTTATGTTTTCATGTTAAACATGTTTAGGCTGTCAAAACAAAAATTTCTGTTCTTATTTTAACAAATTTTAGTACACCAATTTCACACAAAGTACTATTGAACTTTGTTAGACTTTCCTTTAACCAAACTATGCTTAAATTGAAACTTCAATTAATACAATGATAAAATTAGTCAAGTCTTTTTTACCAATTATGAAATATCATATACAAAATCGGATATATAAATTTGAATTATAAACAACATATACAGTATAAAATAGCACTATTGATTTCATATAGCGCTGGTGATCTCTAGCAATTATCTGTTTTGAAACAAAGGAGTTTGAAGTGTTGCGTTAAAAGTAAGCTTCCCTACCTAAAAGATAAATATAAATGAAATCTTTATTAGATACACTGATCTCATTAGTCACTGGCAAAGTCTATTTTATCCAACCAGTAGCAAAATCGCAATCAAAAAATTACAAGAAAAACTGATACTCGAATTGATTGCGAAACATAAAGCTGTTCATTTGGGATTTATGTTTTCTCTAAAACAGCTAAAACTAACATCTCTAGAACGGCTTATTCAGTCTAATTATTCATTTTCCCTGCTGAGGCGACTTTACCAATAGGTTGTCACACACTATATAACATGCGATTGAGTCAAAGTTAATATTTGTCCTCTTATGTCTATCAATCCACGGCAATTACTGTAATTACTGCAATTAGTGTTGACAATGCTCTGAGTGTATTTGTATTTTACCATTCTTTTATATTGATGCTTTATTACCTACAGCAGAGGTTCCCAATTTATTGTTTGTGCGGCGAAAAAGGGAAAAACTCACGGCGTACTTACACGAAAAAATACGGTATAAAGTAAACAACATGGATAAAAAGTAAAATGATTTTTTCGATTCATATATCAACGCGTGAAATAATAAACAATATATAAAATATTCAATCATATATCGATTATGTTTAAATAACACAATTCTAATAATTTACGAGGCGTACATAGCAAATCGCCGGCCCGCAATAATAGTGCGCCGCGCCGGCCCTTTTTGGGAACCGCTGGCCTACAGAATTTCTGGTTCATAAAATTTTATTAACATATATAGCAAACAATCATCAATATGTAAACAATTATTCAATGCCTAGAAAGTACTTGATTTCTGCTGCATTTTAACACAATTATTACACATTCGCCTGTGCGTCCGCTTAGACTTCGAACCACAATTCTAAATCTATATCGCAGAATATAGATAACATCACTAATATCATAGCAAATATACAAGATTTCCAAACAACTATCCTGAGGTTAGCTGTTGGCAAAACAATTTCTGTCATGAATGTCTAAATGTAAGCAGTACAAAAGGTAACGTGACTTGTCATAATATTGCAAAATGGACGTTCGACGTTCCTTTTAGCACGAGAAATGTGCATGGCCACATTTTCGTTTCTGCACGTTTTTGCAGTTATCGGTAGAGAATAATATTCTATTTTATCGCAGCTTTTCAAGACAATTTTTGACCACTGCAATTAAACTACAACTCCTAAGAAGGCGAAAAATTTCGCCATTTTTTCGTGCTATCGCGGGCTAGATGAAAGGACGCCATTGGGCGGATCTGGTCTGCGGGCCGTAGTTTGGTGATACCTGGACTGTAGCGTTATCTGAAATGCTAATTTTATTTTGACTTCTAGACTAGGGCTACTCAACTATTTTCATCAAAGATCCGCATATAAAACTTCAAAATTATTTGGGTCCGGTATTTCTAGGAATCATGTTTCAGCATCCTTATTCGCACATTTCCTCGACCGGCTAATGATTATTAACTAATCAAGATTGTTTATTATAGTGATATGGTTCTTTACATATTTTATCAAAACTATAAAAGGTATTTTATAAAAAGAAACTTCAAAAGTGGGACTAATGATCCCAAATAAAGAATTAGGTGCGGTCCGAATCAAATACTCGAAAGGTCCGGATTCGGACTTCGGTCCGCTAGTTGAGTAGCCCTGTTCTAGACTATGAATATTTTATTGTATTATAATTGAGAACTACAAGCACAATAAAAATACAAGAAATTTCTAGGTTTTATTGCTATAAAATTGGGCGATATTTTTTGGACATGTATATATATATATGTAAATACGCGTGCAGTCACATTAATAAATACTTTGTTAGGTTTATGAGGACTTTCAAAAGTTTGTTAATAATACAACACAGCTCTACACTTCACTAGGTTCAAAGCAATATATATATTTCACAAATTTCAGAAAAACCAACATGAATATCCTCGCAGAGTATTTTATTTTTCTTTCGACATTTTACTCTTTCATTTACCACTATCACCCTATTCTTATTCTGTTTTAGAACGAACAAAATGGATTTTCTCTTCAAGTTTCTTTGATAATTTGATGACACACGGTATCACGAATGCTTGTTTGTTTTGAATATTGCAGCGTTTTTTCATTTATTTCGGTATTTTACTCCTCCAATAATTAACTCAATGCTTATTCTGTATTGGAACTCTTTTTAAGTTACTTTGATAATTTAATGACACATGATATCATGATTATTGTTTGTTTTTGCGCCATATAATGTATTTCACTAATTCTAAAACTAGTTTCTTCAACTCATTATAAAATCTCTTTAAAAAGTTGTGAAAGAGACTTCAAAAAATTTAATTCACAATTTTGTTACAGTCACGTAAATATAGCACCCATTTATTTGCTTGAAATAACTCTCGATCTAATCTACCCTGTTCTGTTATCACCATGTTGTAAAATAAAGTGAATCCCTTGTTGCACAAAACTTTGGTCTAGTCTCATTCTGAAGCGAAGATGAATCTCTTTTCTCTTTCCGAGACTAGAATGTTCAAAATGAATTCATCAACTGTTCGCTTTATCTTTATTTAACGATAAAGTTGAATACTGCAAAGAAAATGCATCAACTTCACCTAAATATCATTTTTACTATCAATTCCTAATAGCTCAGAAATAGTTAATCTAATTGATTACTAATAGAATCGACCAATAGACGAGTAAAATCTGCAGTTCGTGCATTAATATAGCATTAGGTATAAGCCTCATTATGCATATAGAAATGAATTCTTCAAACGTTTACTCCTCAATATATTGGTAAAATGATTGACATTTTATCAGCATAGAATGACAAATTATAGGAAATTACAGCGCGCAGATAAAAACACACTTTCACACGGTAGGTGTACACTATTCAAAATATGCAGTAAAAATACTGTAATTCGAAAGTAATAAAGGTCATTAGTTGACCTGAAATACGTGTCCGCAATACAGGAGAATAGCACAAGGAACAGATTTCCTTCATTAACATTAGGTTGTTGACTCTCATGGTAGCGTACACACGATGTAATATAGAAGAAATGTTATTGACTTCTGTTTCTAAGAAACGGTCTAACTAAACAACACAATTGAAAAAATGAAAACATCTGGCGGATTATATGGCTTGCTTGCATTTCATTATCTAATGCAAGTTATATATCCTCTATTTCATAAGTACGGTACAAAACAATTACAGTTTGTCGGTGATATTAATTTACTACTCAACGTGCCACGAAAATATATTGCCTGAAATTCCCTCTCGCCAAATGTGTGTTGCAGTCAAGCATCTTCGGTTAACA